GTCCATCATGACTGACGCCGAGGCCCAGTCCTGGCCTCTGTTCAGCTCGCCCATCATCTGGACCCATTCTGCCCGCGCCTGCTGCTGCCACACAGCCTTGTCGCAGCTCTTGCCTGAGCTGGCCCACCAGTAGTCTCTGTCGTGCGCCGCCTCCCAGTCCTTCGCGATGCGCCTGCGGAGCCTGCCGCGTATGCGTACCACCGCCCCCAGTAGCGCAATTGGGCGGGGCCCCCCGTCCGACTTGGGGATGAAGGCCATCTTGGTGATGAACGCGGGCCAGTCGCACTGCAGCTCGATGGCGACCAGCAGGTCGATGAGCGCCTCGATCCCAGCGTCGTCGAGCACGCCCAGCTCGCGCGGCCGCAGCGCGTCGAACGATGAGCCGCTGGAGTCCCTGAAAGTGGCGATGACCTCCCTGATCTCGCTCACCGTCGGTCGGGCAGGTCGCTCACCGAGATCGTGTGGCCACTCGAGCGGCTCCAGTGCGAGCTCACTCCCCAGCGGCGTGGGGGGCCCTACTCCCCAGTACCCTGACCACTCCTTCACCAGGGCTTGGACTGTCTGGGAAAGCGTACGAGGCTCGCTCCCTGGGCCGCTAGTGATCCTGGCTTGCCAGCCCTGCGGAGGTTTGGTCCAGGAGTGGAGGGCCCCCGTTCCTCGAGCGTGGTTCTCGGCGACCCAGTCCGCGAAGCAGGCCTTCGCCTTGTCCGCGTCCCGCTGCACCAGCTTGTCCGCCATGGTGGCGGCGATGAAGCTCGCTACCTGCAGCTGGGGCAGATCCATGGACTGCGCCGCCTGCGCAAAGCCCAGCAAAGTGATGTGGGCCTGCGTCGTCTCCTGCCTGGTGTCGGACTCGAAGTCAGGCTGCGCACTGCACAATCGATCGAGCGCCTTCAGCGCCGTGTGCCTCTTCAGTTCGAGGTCAGTCTGAGCGGCATCCTTGAGCGCGATGGTCACGCTCTTGCACCACGACGTGGTGATGGCCACCCTTGGCAGCCTGGGCGCCGTTGGTTTCAGCACTTTGACCAGTGCCAGCCAGGGGCGCCGCTCTCGTCCAGCAAACTCGTAGTACGCGTGCTTGAGGCCAATGGCATCCAGCAAGTACCGCTCCGCGCAATGGATGAAGATCTGCCACATGCCGTCCAGCGAGGGAGACACCGCCATACGGCCGCGCGCCTCCGCCCACCTCTGAGAGTGGTCCTCGGTGCAGCACGCCTTGGGTAAAGGGTGCGGGAACTTCTTCGGCACCTGTTGACAGAGCTGGCGTTGAACTTGAGCTCAACAGGGAAGTGGGGCGCAATATCCCATCCAAGCTTGATCTCTGCATGCGCTTCGGAGATCACGTGAGATGACGAAGTAGTCGATCACTCTGCCAGACGGCCTGATGGTGCCGTCCGTTGGTGAAACCACTCTGCCTCCGACGCGCTCAAGGAAGCCTGAGCACTGCAGCTCGTGAGGCTCCATATTGAAGTCCCCCGCGATCACGAAGGGCTTGCCGATGGCCCGAATCGCCATCGCGATGCCGTCGAGGACGCCGAGGTTGTAGGCCGAGGGGCCTTCGCCAACCTTCAAGTAGACGTTGATCCATGCCAGGCCCCCAGGAAAGGGACCCGCCACATGCGCGACTGCCGCGCGGCCTGGCGTGAGCACTGTCGGCTGCCCCGCCTCGAACTCGCCAAGGCCCGAAGACCTCGGAGCCAACTGCAGGAGACCACCGTGCCCTGCGTGTCCCGCAAAGACGTCGGTAGCAGGGGTGGCCACCGCATGCCATCCCAGCCTCTGCAGCTTGTCGGTGACCTCGTAGCACCTCTCCTGGGACAGGTGCGTCTCCTGGACTGCGATGAGGTCGCAGCTCCTGAGACTCTCGTAGCCGAGGATGCTCTCGAACCTGCTATAAGCGTTGGCGTTGATGGAGAGAGCTGTCCACCATCGCCCGCTAGGGTAGCTACCCTGAGGTCCGCGGCTTCTTGACAGAACGCAGGACCTCCAGGGCATCGCGGATCCTCTTGCGCTGCTCGTCGTCGTCGCCGCAGCCGCCAAGAAGCCCCCCAGGATCTTCTTCGCCCAGGAAGTCGTCGAAGTCGACGCCGCTCTCGGCAGGCGTCGCCCCCGCTGCTGGCGCCCCTGCGGCCCCTGCTCCGCCAGGCTGAGCTGCAGCTGGCTCGGGGCCAGGCGCTGCTCCACCTGCAGCAGCGGGCGCCCCTCCCTGCGGGCGAGCTGCCTTCGCCTCCTCAGCGAGCTCGTTGACCATCTTGGACAGCTGCTCGAGGAGGTCCTGGCCTGAGACCCCGTCGGTGTTGAGCGGGCCGAGCTTCTCCTTGATCGCATCAGGGCTGATGCCTCCGCCGTAGAGCGCGACTGCCTCACGCTTGGCCTCCGCGAGCTCTTGCTGCAGCTGCGCGATGATCTCCTTGGAGGCGTGCACCTGCTCCAGCGCCTTGCGAGCCACCTCAGTTTCACGCTTAAGCCGATCCTGAGCGTCTGCAAGCTGTCGAGCCAGCCCGCCCACCTTCTGGGGCGCCGACTTCCCCACCAGGCCGAGAGCATGGGCACGGCGAGCAGCATCCACCTTACCTCGCGAGGACTGCGTGAGGGTGTGCTTTGTCGCGTCCCACGTCTCCTGCGTGAAGGTGGCCCAGACCTTGACCTCCTCCGCACTGAGGGTGGTGCCAGAGGGACTCTTGTCTCCGCCAGCACTCTTGCCCTTGAAGAGCTTGCCGTTGTGCCCCCACTGGTTGCTCGGCGGCGCGTCGGCCCACTTGCCCCGAGACGGAGGCTGACGGAGCTGCCACGGCTGGTGCCAGGGCTGCCCTGCTCCGCGAGGGAAGCGAGGTCGCATTCCTCCGCACCCCGCCTTCGAGCACCGAGTGCGGTCGGCGGCGTGGTACTCACCACAAACGCACTGCCACTGGGGTGCCATGGCCGAGACACACTCAGTGTTATAAGTGCCAAAACGAGGGGAGCCGCGCGCGCCGCTGAAGGTCGAGCTCGGGAAACAGAGCTATCCCGTGTTTGCCAGGAGGCTTGCAGCCCCCCAAGCATTGGGTCTTGAGCCAAAATGGCTACGGAGGGGATTAGAGCCACAGGAGAAGGGCAATCTATAGGAACACGCGTAAAACACCAAGGACTCGTGCCCCAGGAGAGGCCCAATATATAGGAACATGAGTAAAACATTTAGGATTGTGTACACAGGAGAAGGACCATCTATAGAAACATACGTAGAACATCAAAGAATCGTGCTCCAGGTGAGGCCCAATCGATAGGAGCATACGTAAAACACATGGGATTGGAGCCACTCCTGTTGCCTTCTGAGGCCTCCTGCTCCTGGGGCCTCTCGGGGCCTCCTGTTGCCTTCCGAGGCCTCCTGGCGCTTCCTGTTGCCTCCTGGGGCCTCCTGTGGTTTCCTGAGGCCTTCTGGAGCTTCCTGGGGCCTCCTGGAGCCTCTTGGGACATCCTGTGGCCTCTTGAGTTTTTCTGTGGCCTCCTGATGCCTCCTGGGACCTCATGTGGTCTCCTGGGGCCTCCTGGAGCCTGTTGGAGCCTCCTGTGGCATCCTGAGAAGAATCTGCGCCCACGAGCCTGGCCACCAAAACAAGCAAACCGATCGAGACATCCTCAAAATCTGGCCCACCTGGGGGGTGAAAATGAGCGCCTCGCTCGAGACATCCTCCAAATCTGCTCCGAAAGCGAAGGATGTTGAGCCCAGAAACAAGCAAACCGCCTGAGACATCCCCACAAAATGGCCGCGAACGAGCCCGTGCAACCACCCCTGGCGGCTCCCCTTAGGGCCACGAGCCTGGCCACGAAAACAAGCAAACCGATCGAGACATCCTCAAAATCTGGCCCACCTGGGGGGTGAAAATGAGCGCCTCGCTCGAGACATCCTCCAAATCTGCTCCGAAAGCGAAGGATGTTGGGCCCAGAAACAAGCAAACCGCCTGAGACATCCCCACAAAATGGCCGCGAACGAGCCCGTGCAACCACCCCTGGCGGCTCCCCTTAGGGCCACGAGCCTGGCCACGAAAACAAACAAACCTATCGAGTCATCCTCAAAATCTGGCCCACCTGGGGGGTGAAAATGAGCGCCTCGCTCGAGACATCCTCCAAATCTGCTCCGAAAGCGAAGGATGTTGAGCCCAGAAACAAGCAAACCGCCTGAGACATCCCCACAAAATGGCCGCGAACGAGCCCGTGCAACCACCCCTGGCGGCTCCCCTTAGGGGTGCTGAAACCAGCGCCCCGCCTGAGACATCCTCACAATCTGCTCTCCAAGCGAAGGATGTTGGGCCCAGAAACAAGCAAACCGCCTGAGACATCCCCACAAAATGGCCGCGAACGAGCCCGTGCAAACACCCCTGGCGGCTCCCCTTAGGGGTGCTGAAACCAGCGCCCCGCCTGAGACATCCTCACAATCTGCTCTCCAAGCGAAGTCTGAGTATGACTAATACTGTGTATGAGTAAATCTGGGAATGAGTGAGTCTGTGTATGAGTACGTCTGGGTGTGAGTAAGTCTGTGTATGAGTAAGTCTGTGTATGAGTATGTCTGAGTGTGAGTAAGTCTGAGTATGAGTAGGTCTGAGTATGAGTAAGTCTGAGTATGAGTAAGTCTGTGTATGAGTTAGTCTGAGTATGAGCAAGTCTGAGTATGAGTAAGTCCGACAGGAGGGGAGGAGGAAAGAGGAGGAGGAAGGAGGAGAGGGAGTAGGAGGCGTCCAAGTAATAACAATAACCCCATCTTAGGATATGGAGAATGTAGATTGGGTGCAGACCATCACAGAGAATAACAAAACACAGCAAAAGACCATCGATTATTGAAGTAGTATGGCGATCTGAAAATCCCCCATATACCTACTGCCAACGACAAGCGTGTACGGTGATGGCATTGGATAGGGAACCAGTGGATCTGGAATCCGGGGTCTGCCAGCAGGTGGAACAGCAACTGAGGCCGAGGCCGATGAACAAGCAGAAGGGTAGCAGTAATCGGGGCCGGCTGCTCCGTCTCAAGTGAAGACCTCCTCTGGGCGGCTGAAGTACTTGACCTTCATGTCGATCGGGATAACTACCTGCGTTAACACGCCACATCTGTCAGTACCCGCAGCATTCCACGGCCGACTTTCGCCCATGCTGTCGATTTCCGAATGCACCGTGGTCTGAATTCAGTATCGCCCTGGGTCGTTCGCGCAATACCTTTGATCACTTGAGTGTGGAAGTAAACTTGATGCACCAACACAATATATGTTCACATTGCTGCTGCAGACCAACAAGCACTTCTGCTCATTTCGAGACCTCCCACATGGGGTAAGCAAACGGGGTCGGAAGATCGCGCCGCATCGCCAATGCACCTTCGATGCATTGCATTGGCGATGTATCGGCGACGTCGGCAGAGAAGATCGGGATCCACAGCAAGCCGCATCGTCGATGCACCGGCGATGTGGTGCTACCACGTCTGCCAGGGATCCCATCTGGAAGGCCTGGATCATTTCTATCATGCGCCCGTTGCCCTCCCCGACGTGCCCCACCGACAGCAGGCCGCTGACCTTGTCCCACTTCGCATTGCCGGAGTCCTGGCTCTGCTCTTTTCAAAAAAAGGAATCCTGCACAAGAGAAGAGCCCGGGGTTGAACCCACGCGAGAAGCAGCCTGGACGCCCGAGGAGAGGACTGAACTATCAAAGCCAGGATCAGTCAACACCAAACCTGCAAATTGGATCGAATAGAAATGTGCATCGGATCTGGCTGCATCGGCACGGAATCGAAATCGAATCGGGTTGGCTGCTCCAGGATGCACAGCAGCGCCACACAAGCATCGGGCCGCATCGGCTCGTCTGAGTATCGGAATCGAATCGGATGGGGTCGGCCCAAATCGATGTCGAATCGGATCGATCGGATCGACATGTACCCTGTTGAGAGCTCGCGAACATCCAGTGAACAACAAGCCGCCGTCCACCTTGCCACGCAAAACAGGGGCGCAAACATAGGCGGACAGTCTGCGGCCAGAGGCATACAGCGAAGCGGGGCTGTAGATTCCGCGGCCGCCTCGCCATCCCTTGACGCCCGGCGAGAAGGACATGCGAGCGGGCATACGATTCGATGCAGGCGGCAATCCCGGGGCTCGGTCCAGGGGGCAAGATCGGGGAGCACGAGGGCTTCTGGTCTCTCTGGGGCCACCAATCTTGCCGAAATCGGCGTGCTGCCGCAACACGCCGACCTCAACATCTCCCAAATGGTGCCTGTCGACCCACCTTTTGGTCAGTGCTCGCATGTGCCTAGAGACTCAGTGCACCATGCACAATGGCAAAACCTTGGCACAATCACAGGGCTCTCGGGCATGACCTCAGGCAACAAAAGACTCGGAAGCCTGAGCAAACGCGACGATGGACATCAACAATGGCGCTGTTGTTTGCAGAGAACCCTGGCGCGGGTCAATGATGCACGGACGAGGTTTCTGTCAGGCGGCAGAAAGGGAGCGAACCACAATTGGGGCAATGAGGAACGCCGCGCCCAAGGGTCTCATGCAGACGCGCACCTGCTGGCAAGGGTGATCTCGGCAAGCTGGGAAAGTCTCACCATCACTGCGCGGTCCTCTCGCTAAGACTATGTACGCAAGAAACCTCTCGATCGCCTTCGCCCGCGCGTGCACAAATTGCTCGCGCGACCAGCAAACAAAGAACCACTATGACACTGTAGACAAGCCTGCCACACGCGCTGCACACACGCATCGGGGGTCTTGATTCAGGATGCGCAGTCGGCCACGAGGCCACCTGATCGGAGCATATGGTGCGCATACCCTCCCACTCCCGCCTGCTCCTCCTCCTCCTCCTCCTCCTCCTCCTCCTCCTCCTCATCCTCCTCCTCCTCCCCTTCCTCCTTCTCTTCCTCTTCTTCCCCCCTGGCCCACTCCTCCCGAGCCGCCCCTGGCGGTCTCCACCCCCTTCCCTCAGGCCTGGCTTCTGATCCCGCGTCCTGTTCTTGACTGCCCCGGCGCCACGAATAGTGGAACGAACAATGACGTAAAACAACACCTCGGAGGTCCGCGCGGAGGGGTCATTCCAGCAGGGGTCATTGCTGTGCCCCCCGAAGGCAGCAACCTCCATGAGGGTCTGAGCACGTCGAACCAAAAATGACGGCCGCCACGATCGGCACCTTGCGTCGCCAAAATCTAAACGGATGTCGGGCCATAGCTCGGGCCCCTGGCCGCCGCTCGGGGCGGATCCCCCTTCCCTTTGTCCCTGCTCCGGCGGGGGGGGGGGGCCCGGGAGGGGGGGGGTCAGATTCGCCTCCTCCTCCTCCTCCTCCTCCTCCTCCTCCTCCTCCTCCTCCTCCTCCTCCTCCTCCTCCTCCTCCCCCTCTCTGTGCCTGCACCTGTCCCGCCTCATCTGCGTCGTCCTCCCCCTCCTCCCAGAGGCGCCTTCCCCCATCACCCTCTTCGCCGAGGCCGGCGCCGTGGCCTCCAGGGTCGGCGGCGCCGGCCGCGAGGCCTTCCCAGTCTGGACGGGCGTCGGGCCACCGCTCGGGCCCCTGGCCGCCGCTGAGGTTATGATGCTCCAACCTACTTTTCCCTTGACCACCAGGAAAAATCTCGAGCGCCAGAAAAAAAAATACCGAAACTCAAGGGCTTTCACGTGTCGGGCCCCGGGAGACACTCGCCCGACAGACACTGCTTCGGCACTGCTTCGACACTCTTTTGACACTTCTTCGGGTGCTCGAGATTATTTCTGGGATGCGGTCCTTAAATCGGATGGGAACAACAGAACGCGGGGGGCGGCTCCGGGCTCCCCCAGGACGCCCGCGGCGGGGCGCAGCCTGCCATCTCCGGAGGGCGCCCCGAGGCCCGAGAGCCGAGGACGAAACCCGACGAACACGTCCGAAGAGCCTCCAGCTCCTCCTCCTCCTCCTCCTCCTCCTCCTCCTCCTCCTCCTCCTCCTCCTCCTCCTCCTCCTCCTACCCCTCCTCCTCCTCCTCCGCCTCCTCCTCCTCCTCCTCCTCCTCCGCCTCCTCCTCCTCCTCCTCCCCCTCCTCCTCCTCGATCTGGACGTGGGTCAGAGTCAGGAGCCCACTCTCAGGCAGCAGCGGGGGGGCCGAACGAGGGCCCGAGCGAGAAGGCGAACGCGCGAGGTGCACAGCGACGGAGGGACAGCGACCGAGCGCAGAGCGGAGGCCCGAGACCCGCAGGGACCGCCCAGCAAGGCGCACTTGCAGGTACAGCCTCTTGCTTTGCGAGGCCCGAGTCCCGCGGCGGCCGAGAACTTCGTGTATATCCTTGGGGCCCGCAAGCCTCATCCGAGGAGTCGTTTTCAGACACTCCCCAGGGGTACGTGGCGGGCCCCTTGGAGCGGAAAAGCTCCGACAAACCTCAAGGCCCGTTCCCTGCGATCTGGCGTTGCGGAGAACATGCCACATGGTGCAAGATCACCACCCGAGCTCTGGACCCCACCTCCCTGCGGCATTCTTCGAGCCGCATCGATCGGTGAGGGCCCCAGGGCCCGAAACGAGGCAGCATCGCCAGTTTCAACAGAATTGAGACGCCAGGGTTGCAGGGTCCCGGAAGAACCGCCTCTGCCATGGCGAGCACAGGTCGGCACCGTCCTGCGCATCGGGAAGGCCGCCGCCGCAGCCGCCGCCCCCGCTCGCTGCAAGAGGAGGAGGAGAAGCAGGCGGAGAAGGAGGAAGGAGGGGATGAATCCAGGAGGAGGAGAGAGGAGGAGGGGGTCGAGGACGAGGACGAGGAGGAGGATGAGGAGGAGGAGGAAGGAGGAGGACGGAGGGGGAGGAGGAGAAGGAGGAGGAAGAGGAGGAGGAGGAGGAGGAGGGAGGAGGGAGGAGGAGGAGGGAAGGAGGAGGAGGATGAGAAGGGTGCGGGAGGAGGTGGTGGCCGCTGTCGATGGACTGCGGGATGGACTGCATCTGTTGATGATTGTATGCTGGCCGCTGTGCGCAATACAGGGGTGCATCCCCCCCGAGAGTGCTATGACGTCGGCGACCCCGCCACGACTAATTATCCAATCTGGGGACACCATGAAAATATTAGGATCGAGAGGCCTAACGAAACCATGCCGGCTTGACAGTGCTGCCGCAGCTTGTCACCGGAGTGCAAAGACAGGCATCTCGGTTCGCTCACGGAAGAGCAGTACATACCAAGGAAGAGAGGGACATGAGGACACGCCCACCCAAGGACACGAGGGGAGCAAGCGAGGGAGCGGGAAGGCGGAGGCAGGAGAGACACACCACTACTAGAGCCAAACGCACACCCGAACGCCCAGCAAGGCCACAGCTCGCAAGTCTGACCCTCGCCTGGACCCTTACCCTTTGGATCTACGCGGTGCGTTATTCACAGCAACGTCGGGGGGGTCAAGATCCAGGGGACCGCACTCGCCCCCTCTCGGAAACGCGCGCGGCCTGAGCCCCTGCAGTGTCACATCACTGAGTCGACGGCTGCTTCTAGTGATGCTATGCGGATCATGCTGCTGCACTAGCTGGTTCTGACACCGGCTACTGCCCACAGGCTCACTCTGCTCACCTTCTATCAGTACTTTATCGTGCTTGCTCTTTCCAGCATGTTCTTCAAGAACTCGGGAGCCTCCTCTCGCTCTTGGCTCTCCTAGGGGCGGGCCTGGCTCGACTTCGGATATGATATGTTGCAGGCACTAGGTGACTGGGGCGAAGATATGGATCTAGAGCGCGTGCCTGACTCTGGCCTCGCCCACCTCCCCGGCGAAAGCTGTCTCCGCTCTCCAGTACTTGGTGTAGTACGATGCCGCTCTGCCTTGGGCGTCACCACCAAGGCAGCGACGCCCTGATGATCCTCTCGGATAGCCGCTGCGCCCTGCACCCCCGCCATAGTCAAGAGAGCCTCCAGCACTGCCATTACCACCATGAGCGATGGCGGTCCCAACTGAGCCTGGGAGTTCTCCAGCAACTTCTGCATGTGCAGCTGCGCCGCCGCCACGGCAACGAAGTTGAGCAAACACTCTTTCTGGAGCAGATGCATAGTCAACAGACAGTATTCCAAAGCGCATGTCCAGTGCTGCACGTTGAGTAAGCCTTTGTTTACTTCCTGCGTCGTCTCGACTTCCGAACGGTCACTCTGCTCAACTGATCTGGCCGCTATGCTGCGGTCCCCTGCGCGCCGCCGCTGGCCCTCTCACTGGTCGTGCTTGCCGCTAAAACTTCCTTGGTTCCGTTCCGTAGCCGCCAGCGCTCAATGAGACCTCTGCAATGCTCAACGACCTCTTTTTCGCATCTGTCAGCAATGCCCCTGAGATCTCCCCTGGTAACCAGCGCGCCATCAGCAACGTACTCGAAGGTAAAATCTGCTGTGGGGTCTAGCGTGATGTGGCTCCGTATGTGCACCTGCAGCGCCTGCAAATTCTCACGGTAAACTCCGCGTGCTGGACAAAGAAGGTGTCCTGCCTGGCTGGACAATAAGAATCCCGAACATGCCCCCGATCCGCTTGGCACGTTTGCTCAAGGAACAAACGACAAACGCATTGACGCGCAATCTTGCGATTGAATGGCACCGACATGCACCCTGCACATTGAACCGTGACCGTCAGGACCTTGCCGAGTGCTCTGTGCCTGTGCGTGCCACCTTGCGTGAAGCTCACGCGAGCATCCCACCCATGCGCATCCTGAGACTGAAGGCCGCGTCGTCGACCAGTGGCGCTCAGCTCATCACAAGTCCATATCGGTACCTGTGGTTCCGCTGGGGTTCCTGCTCGATTTTCTCCTCCTGCGCCATGTGCGGCTACTGGGTCGGAATCCTGTCCTCCGGGAGGAGGAGGATGCGGCTACTGGGTCGGAATCCTGTCCTCCGGGAGGAGGAGGAGGAGGAGGAGGAGGAGGAGGAGGAGGAGGAAGAGGGAGTGCCAGGAGTGCCACCTGCGGCGAGGGTCTGAGCTCGCTCCCGACCCCGCGCCCGCGCCCACGCGGGCTGGCAGCGCTCAGGAGCGCGACGGACTCGATGCAGAGCACGCCTGGGCCGAGCCACGGGCGTGCGGCGACCGGCGTCGGGAGCCCGCCTCGGCAGCAGCGGCGACCGGCGAGCGGCCCGCCCTGGGCCACAGCCCAAGCCGCACGCGGTTCGGGTAGTCCAGGCCAGTCCTGGTGGGGCCAGTGGGCGGGCACTGCTGCTTGGGCCCCTCGCCCAACTGCCGTCCACCTGGCACCCAGAAGAAGCCGCAGCGCTCGCAGAAGCAGCAGCTCAGCTGCTGGTGCAGGCCGAGGCGATGCGACGCGTCTGAGGAGGAGGAAGAGGAGGAGGAGGAGGAGGAGGAGGAGGAGGAGGAGGAGGAGGGAGAGGAGGGGGACCGCCGCGCCGCCGCTCACGCAGCGCCGCGCAGCGCCGCGCTCACGGCGGCGCCAGCGGGTCGAAGTCCAGCCCCAAGCGGTCCGCGCCGCGCCTCTCGGCCTCCTCCTCGGGTCTCTCGGCGAGCATCACTCAACCGATTCCAGACCCCCTCGAGTCACGGAAAAATCGCTACGGGATGTTCTTCGCTATTTTCTACCTCCGGGGGTTCTCACTGGGCCTCGGGGCCTTCAAGAAACGACCCAGGATGAAAAACCGGTCCCGGGGAATGGGTCGAGACCTCTGGGGGTCGACGTTCTGAACAACAGTCATGATGTCGGGGGTCTGTGACTGGCGTGGTCTGGACTCCACTGGCCGATTTACCCCCCTAGCTGGGGGTGTAGGCTGCTCCCTTCGGGTTGCGAGGGACACATCCCCAGCTGGGGTGGTGGGATGGTGGGGATCGGGATCGGGATGGGGATAGGGATCGGTTGAACGACACTGACATGGGGGGGGGCGCAGGGGCGGGCCACCACCATACGAGCCTAGTTCGTGTCGTGGCGACTTCGGAGATGCTTGCTCGGTTTCGCGGAGTTTTCCATCTACTTCGGCTCCCGCGGCCCGTTGTCGGGCCCCGGGGCCATCTGAGACGGATAAGGGACGCAAAGCTGCCTCCGGGGAAGGGGTCGGGAGCTGTGATGGGGCTGCGGATTGAACAACATCCTATCGGTCGATGCCCGGGGGGACATGCGAATACGAACCCTGCAGGCTTGAAGGGGCCCAGGGACACACACAAATAGATATACACAGATCCCAGGACTCCCCACCTTTTCCCATATGTGGTTGGACTTCCGTCTTCCCCCCCCCTTTCCTTATCTTCCAATTTTTTCTGGGGAATCGAGGATTGCTTGTGTCTGTGCGTTTTTCCCCCTCCGGAAGGTTACAGACTTCTGGAACGGAAGGGGGCGGGCCAGGAGGAGAGAGGAGGAGGAGGAGGAGGAGGAGGAGGAGGAGGAGGAGGAGGAGGAGGAGGAGGAGGAGGAGGAGGAGGAGGAGGAGGAGGGAGGAGGAGGAGGAGGAGGGAGGAGGAGGAGGAGGAGGAGGAGGGGAGGAGGGAGGAGGAGAGAGGAGGAGGAGGAGGAGGAGGAGGAGGAGGAGGAGGAGGAGGAGGAGGAGGAGGGCCACCACCGCGCGAGCCCTGCGGCTGGGCCGCGGCGACTTCGGCGCTGGTTTTTCTGACGCCGAGCGGCTCCTTCGACTCCGAAGGATCGGCGGCCCTCCGATCGCCACATCTGAAGGGGCCCCAGGACACACAAATAAATACACACAAATAAACATATTTTCCTATATTTTCTGGGTTTTTGTCTCCCCCCCCACTTCCCATATTTCCTATATTTTCTTGGAAATCGACGATTCATTGTGTCTGTGTGTTTTTTCCCCTCCTGAACATCGTTCCGTAACGGCCGCTTCTGGATCACGGGCGGCGCTCCACCGTGAACGCCCGCGGCCAGGTCGCTACCGCGTCGGCACGTAAAACGACGCGAAGATCGCGACAAAATTGGATCGGGATAACTCGAAATCTCTGAGAATCGGCGGGTTTGGAGGATGTATTGGGCGCCGCGGCCGCTCCAGAGCGTTCCGGAACGCTCTGAGAGCGCTCCGGAACGCTCTGGAGCGATTTATCCCGATCCTAGCCCTGTTTTAGCACGGCGCGAACCTGCCATACCCTGGCACGTAAGATTTCTGGGGCGCCGGCTGGTGCTTCGGCTTCGAAACAGGTCTGCAGCTCGAGTGAGCTCCAGCGGAGATGTCCGATGCCCCGGTGTCGATGGGACCTACAGGGGTTGGGTTCGCAAATGATCGCAGACAGGGTCTTCTCTTGTGGAGGCCTCCAGAATGGGGTCCGAGTGGATGGGGTCGGAGGATCCCACCGCATCGCCGATACATCGCGATGCATCGCCGATGCGTGGGCGACGTCGGCGACACATCGGGGCCGTCGGCGTGGATAAAGTAGGACCCACTTCAAGCCGCATCGCCGATGCATCAGTGATGCTGCGCGATCCTCGGAGCCGATCTATTAGGACCCCATTTGGGAGGCCTGCATTTTCGGGCTACTAACTATTCTTCGCCGAAGCTAGAGATGTATGCCCCCAGCGAGTTACCTGCAGCTGAGAGGTCCACCGAATTTGTTTGTAAAATATGTGTCCCATGCTTTCTTACTTCCCAAGGGGATGAGGGGAAGGGCAGGGAAAGCAATGATAGGGGGGCTGGCATGGGGGGGGAACATCGACCCGGAATCGGCGATACATCGCCGATAGTTCGGCGATAGGCCCCCGATTTCAAATGCGAGCGTTCCTGGGCGGGGTGGGGCTATCAGACCCCCATCGGCGATCAATGGGCGATCCCGGGCCAATACATCCCCCCGTATGCCCACCCCCCATCATTGCCCCTGCAAAGCCCCGCCGAAAGCGCCCCACCCCCATCTAGTCTGGAGCTGTCTGCCCCCCCCTCGCCCCCTTTCCTCCTTCCGGGGACATGTTAGCATGGACTGCGGACCTGTGAACACGGTCGAGACCGATAGTAAGGGTGCGCGATAAGGGTGCAGGGGACTAGGAAGGCCATGCTGACGCTTTTCGAGCGGAGCGCGGCCAGCGAGAGTAGCCAAGAACGAGCCGAACAGAAGGATGCAAGGGAAAGCTTCGAACGTCGCTCATCCTTGCTATCAACATTGACTGCATGGCGCGCGGGCGTCAGATCCACGACTGGGCCAAAGGAAGGCACCACGAAACGTGACAACAGTGCCACCCGAGTTGGCGACGGAGCGCGTCAATCCCGCAAGAACCTGGCACCCGCCTCGAAGTCGCGCAAGCCACGCGCACCCAGGGCACCCTGAACGCAGCAGCCTCCTCCTCGGCCCACTCCCCCCCAGCCCGCGACGGAGCCCTCCTGATGACAGCAGGGGCGCGGCCGCAAGAAGCCCTCGCCCAAAAAAGCCAGCCCTGAAAACCCCCGCGCGCGAGGTGCGGCTGCGGGGGCACCCGGGGCACCCTGAACGCAGCAGCCTCTCTGATGGCCGCGGGAAGTCACCTCGCAGCGCGCGGAGCGAAGCAACCCAGGGGATCCTGACAAAAAGCAGATGGCTTCTGGATGCGCGCTCCCGCTCCTCCCCTCCCCCCGCCCCATCCCCTCCTCCCGCCCTCTGCACCCCCCCCACCCCCCTCCGTCTCTGAGGGGAAGCACTAGGGGGAAATGCCTCCGCAGACAGGAGAGAAACGCTGTCTTGGAATCATCGAGGCGTCGCTGGTGGATCGGCGATAGCCCCCCGATAGCGACACCGCACGCTCCTGGGCGGTAAGGGAGGAGCCTGGGCCCCGACTGGCGACGAATGGGCGGCGATCGGTCGTCGATGCTTGGCCCCCCGGGTTTAGGGTTTAGGGCCTAGGGTTCGGCGATGCTGAGCAGGGTGCGCCGCCTCGCTCGCCACCGCGTGGGCATGATACCGCGATCCCTCTGCCTGTGCGCAGCCAGCCCAGCCAGCCCGCTCTCTCTCTCTCTCTCTCTCTCTTTCCCTCCCCCCCCTAGTCTTAAGTTGAGCGTGTCCCCCTACTGGGGGAGTTTCGGCGAAACATAAAACATACTCAAAACATGCCCCCCAATGGTCAGAACATACTGCAAAACAATCCCCAGAATATTTTCTGGACTATTTTTGAGTATTCCTCCTGTAGGGGGGCGGGCCCGACTGAACCCTCGCCCCGACGTCCACCCACTTGGGCGCCCGAGTAATCCGGGGTAACTCGGGTCCGGGGTAACTCGGGTTTGGATTCCCGAAAAAGGAACCCGAGTTAGCCCTGACCCGAATTTCCCCTGATGACGTGGGGCTCTGGACGCCCGAATTATCCGGGGTAACTCGGGCCCGGGGTAACTCGGGTTCGGAATCCCGAAAAACGAACCCGAGTTAGCCCTGACCCGAGCGTTACCCCTGATGATTCGGGGCTCTGACCCACCCCCATCGCGGCAGGACGCTCCCCCGCACGCACCCCGACCGCACGAGAGCTCTCTGCGGCGCCGCGGCCCCGCACGCCGACCGTTCCCCCCCCCCCCCCCGCAACGCCTCCTGGAGGGGCCGGCCCTCCAACCTCCACCGCGAGAGCCTGTGCGAAAGGGAGGGGCACCGGGCCCGGAGCTGGGGTCGGGGGGAAACGAAAAGGAGGGCAATATTTATATCCATATCCAGGGCGTCTTGGACTTTCGTGGAAGGGGCGCCGCAAGGCCGAGGCGCACTGGATATGGATAACATGTAGCCCTTGGGGGCCAGGTTTTTATCCATATCCAGTGGGCCTCATGCTTTTGGGAAGAGAGCCCGAAACACCAAGACGCACTGGATGTGGATATAACTACTGCCCACAGAAAGGGGGGGGGACAGCAAAGGGTAGGGTAGAGCCTCGCCCCCCCCAACGCCCTGGAGGGGCCTTCCAACCTCCACCGCGAGCCTGTGCAAGGGGGGCACCGGGCCCGCGCTCGGGCCGGGGGGGAACGAAAGGGGTGGGGATAGCAAAGGGTAGGGTAGAGCCTCGCCCCCCCCCCAACGCCCTGGAGGGGCCGTCCAACCTCCAACGCGAGAGCCTCTGCAAGGGGGGCACTGGGCCCGCGCTCGGGCCGGGGGGGAACGGGGAACGAAAGGGGTGGGGATAGCAAAGGGTAGGGTGCAGCATCATCGGGAGCGGCCAAGAGGGGGGGGTCCAAGAGGGGGGGGGCGCAACTCATGCCCGGCGGCGTGTGCACGGCCCAGCGGGAGGGGCCAGGGACGCAATGAACTAAGAAGAGGCGCCATGAAATCTGGGGAAATGTCATGGCCCCCGCCATGCATGATATCCCACCCCCCTCCCTAGTCATCACCCCCCTCTTTCAACCACCCCCGGCATCAGCTCACGCATAGCGGATCTTCCCAGCGCCTCCCGGCGCCGGGGGGCGCCCATGCATCGAGGAAGAGGGCCCGGCGGCGGGGCCGAAGCCCGCTGCATGCAGCAGCTGTCGTGTAACCCTCCCTGTCCCCAGACCCCCGACGTCATGATTTTTTCATGACATCGACCCCCAGAGGTTTGGACCCATTCCCCAGGACCGGTGTTTCCCCCTGAGTCGTTTTTTGACGCTCCCGAGGCCCGGTAGGGGCCCCTGGAGGCCGAAAATATGGAAAAACCTCCCGTCGTGATTTTTTCATGACTCGAGGGGGTCTGGGTCGTGCGGCCCGGATCGGGGCCGGGAGAGCGGGGATGGGGAGGCACACCATAGGCGCGGTGGGCTCCTGAGGCTCGGCCCTGCGCCCCCCTGGGCGGGCGGCCTCTCGCAGCTCGTCCGGGAGCGGGGAAGAAAGGGCGAGGCAGAGCACACGGCGGACTCGTGGGTCGGCACGGCACCTCCCTGGCATCGGGTCGGGCACGTCCTCCTACAGGGGGGATTTCGAAGGCCAAATCCAACGTAGCCCAAACATGCGCAAACAATGCCCCAACAATACGCCAAACATCCTCCCCTTGCTAGTCTTTTTGCTATTTCTGAAACTTCTTCCCGTAGAGGCGCAGGCCCGACTTAACCCTGGCGGCTGCTCGGATCGGAACTGGAACCACCGCCGAGACTCCGCGCGGATGCCCTGGATCGGCACTGGACTCCCTGGCGGCGCCGCCAGGGGGCCAGCCCCGATTCGAGAAATCGGCGCGTATCTCTGACAGTTTGCGTATGTGCTCTTCGAGGGAAGAAAAAATACAGGGCAATGATGGGGGGGGGGTACTGTCCCAGGGGGGGAACATCGACCTGGGGCCGGCGACACACCGCCGATGGATCGGCGGTTGGCCCCCGATAGCGAATCGGCACGTCCCTGGGCAGGGTGGGACTATCGGGTCCCTATCGGCGATCAATGGACCATTGGGGGCCGATGCATCCCCCCCTAAGCCCATGCCACCCCGGCGTTGCCCATTGGCTTTCGGGCCAGAAGTCGGCTCCCGGGCGGCCACGCTCGGGACGGCGAGGGCTCCGCCCGCACGCTCTGGGACGAGGCGCAGCTGCTGGAAGGCACCCCGAGGCCGGAGAGCTGCCGGGAGCCCGCGGAGACGCCCGACAGAAGCCTCGCACCTGGGCCCATCCGCCCCCCCTGGCGTTGCCTCTGCAGAGGGGGGGGGGAGGACACGCGAATCTATTTTTTGCGGCAGACGGGGGCCCCACCGGCACGCACTGCAGCACACCGCAGCGGCACTGTGCCACAGCGCGCGACGGCAGAACGCACGGGGACGCCACGAGGTCCATATGGGGGGCCCGTGCGAGGCACGTAGCACAAGGCCAGCAGACTACGGGGGCAACGGTCTTTGTGGGCCCCGGAAACGGCAGGGCCGTTTTTCAACCGTTTCGAAAAAATATCCCTTGAAAATAGAAACGGCAAAAAAACGGCGATCGGAAACGGCAAGAGAGCGGCGACGGAACCGGTAAAAAAACAGCGTCGGAACCGGCAGAAAAACGGCAAAACGGAACCGGTAAAAAACGGCACTGTCGTCTCCAGGGCCCACTAAGGGCGGGACACACGCAGGGGGGGAGAGGCTGCGGGGCGTCCTCGTCCATCTCGCTCCACTTGGGGGTGGTCGCGCCGCCCTCGGCCGCCAGCGCCGCCGCCTCTCGCGGGCCCAGGGGCTGCCCGCCAGCGGTGACGGCTTCCCGGGGCGGGCCCAGACGTCCGACGACGATGTGATCTTTACAGTCCTGGCGTTCTGTCACGGGCTTGGCTGCTTCTGGCGCCCGTTTCGAGCAGGTGGGGTCTCCCACATAGGACGCACGGCTCCAGGCAGCCGCACTATATAAGCAGAGGCTCGGAGCCAGACCCCCCCTCCCCACGGCGGGGGCAAGGCAGGCTTGGCGGGGGGCTGCCGCGACTGGGGATGGGCCTCTCGGGAGCGGCGCGCGCTCGCGCGCCCACCGAAGACTCCCCCCTCGTCTCCACTCCCGCCCCCCCCCGCCCTTGCCAGGGATGCCGGCGGGTGCCGCCGCCTGTGGCGGGAGTGTCCACTTTGTGCACCAGCACCCCCAGAGATCCGACGGCCTGATCTTTTCAATCCTGCCGTTTTTCCTGGATCTCGGCCTCTGCGGGCCCCTGTCGGGCCCTGGGACTCCATCGAACATGGAGCGGGGACGAAACACTACCCATGGGCGCCGGGGGCTCCGAGGCCGCGGATCGAAAAAACAAGTGGCACGCATGCCCTGGCTCTTGCCCTACAAGCGAAAGGAGAAGCGTGCGTGGAAGTCAGGGAGGTTCGAGATCGATGACGAAAATCAGAAGTCCGAATCATTTGGGGGAGACGAAGGGGGCAGGGAGGCCTTGGGGCTTCCCGCAACCGATGACTTCCCAAACGTCCCCAGACGTCCGGCGATGTGACCTCTTCAAGCCGAGCGTTGCTCCTCGATCTCGGGGCCGGGGCAGCTTTCGGGCCCTGGACCTCCATCAAGAGTGGAGCCAGGACGACAAGCCACCCCGGGGGAAGCGGACGGGAGTTCTGGGCCCGCGGAGGAGAAAACATCAGGTCGGAGGACGTCCCCAGACACCCCGAGACCAGTCTCTTCAACCGCGGCGTTTTCCCTTCATTGCGGGCCACGATCCTCGTGAGGGGTGTGCCGAAATGGCCCGAGGCCGCCATGCGAACCCTGCCACTGGCGCCTTCGGTGGAGCTCCCTATGGGGCCACGATCCTCGTGAGGGGTCGGGCCCAGAGCTGCCGACCCCTTCCCTGGGGGTAGCCTTGCGCCCCGGATCCGTTTCTGCTGGCCCCGGGGCCCGGAGGCGGCCCCTGCCAGTGGGGAAACACGCCGCGCTTGAAGAATCACATCGCCGGAGGTCTATAGGCTCGGGGAAGAGACGGCTGGCCTTCGCCCGGACCCCGGAGACACTCCAGCGCGGCGCGGTGGCACCCGAACGCCCACGAAGCTCACCAGGAGGTCCGGGCCCCGCCATACGGGGCAGCTCGTCACCGCCGCCGCTCCTGGGCCAGAAGCCGCCCAGGGTTCCGGGCTGGTGCGCAGGGGCATGCACACACGCGATGCGCGCCTCGTGGTCGAGACCAGGGGTAGGCCGGGCCTGTCCCCCTGCAGGGGGATTTTGGACGAAAAATGAAACATTGCCAAAAGTGCCCCAAAATAGCCAACAAATGCTCAAAACATCGTCCTAGACTATTCTTTTACTATTCTTGAATATTCCTCCTGTGGAGGGACAGGCCCCACGTGAGACCAGGGGTACCAAGTGGCCGATTGATTGTATACCGCCTGGGGTCCCAAGGCGGCCCTGGCCAGGGGCTGGCGGTGGTGCGCAGCTGCGCCGTCTCATGCCTGCCGCAGCGGCAGCCCCAGACATCCGCCGATATGACGCGTTCAATCCGCAGCCTTCCACCCCTCCACTGGGCGTAGTCTTTTGCCCTGGACCCATGTTCGATGGCCCTGGGGCACACTCCCGGCAGGCCAAAATCAACAGAAAGCTGCGGGATTGAAGGAATCAGGTTGCCGAAGTCCCCCACAAGGCTCGGACCCTTTCCGCAGGACCATCTTATCGTGCTGAATTGCTTTTTGGCGGTCCCAGGGCCCAGCGAGGGCCCCAGAAGGCTAAAACTCAGCAGAACCATTATCACCACGATGTTTCGCGACGAGCGAGAGAGCATCAGGGCAGCCGAAGGCCCCGGCCACGGGCCTCCTCCGCCTCCACCTCGCGCAGCGCCTGTCAGCGGCGCGCACAAGGGAGTATGGGGGAGGGGGGGAGGCTTCTTAGAAGGAGGCTGCTTCTCAGACGGCGCCGCCCTTACATGCATAGAGAAGGCAAGCGCCTTCTAAGAAGCAGGGGGGGCTTCTGAGAAGTCTTGCCCCCTCTCCCTACCCCCCTCTGCGCGTGGCCGAGCCTGGTCCACGAGCTCCTGCAGGAAGAACTTCGGACCGGGGCCAGCCTCCTCTGCTCCGTCTGGGCGCTCGCCTCCGCGCAGGGTGTGCTAAAAGGTCTGGAGGCATGCGCCCCCGCGGGGACCTCGCGGGGAGCGCCTGGTATGGAGCCAGATCCCCTTCTGCGGGCAAGATTTATATCCCAGTGTTGGTTGGGGAGGACACGCGAGAGGACACAGGACCCTTCCGAGGGCCACACTGCCATAGGTATGTAGAAGGCACGGCTCGCGAACACACAGGACACAAGTGTACCCTTGATTGGGAAGGTCGACCTACTAATCAGCCTCGACTGTGTTCAGTGCGTCTTGGCTTTTCTTAGAAGGGGCGCCACAAGGCCGAAACACACTGGATACGGATACACATCGAGCCTCTGTGGCGCAGAGTTTTAGCCATATCAAGTGCGCCTCGGGTTTCTGGGGAAGGGAGCCCGACACTCCAAGCTGCAGGGGAGAAGTATCGCCCGACCCCCTCGGGTTGTGAAAAATCACGACGGGCGGTTTTTTACTGCTTTCGGCCTCTCGGAGCCCTCGCCTGGCCCTAGTACCGTGCAACAGCAATGCAGGATGAAAAGCCAATCCGAGTGAATGGATCGAGACCCTCTGAGGGTCCGCGCTGTGAACAAATCGGGACGTCGGCGGGCCACATGGATGCGTTCCCGCCCTTTGGAGGGCGAAAGATGTCTGCACCCGGCGCCACGCGGGAGGCCCTCGGGGGCACAGCCCCGACAACTCGGTGGGACAAGTCCCAGTTGGTGGGCTCGTTTTCCACCACCACCACCACCATAAGTAGGAGGGGGAGGGGTCCTCCTCCTCCTCCTCCTCCTCCTCCTCCTCCTCCTCCTCCACCTCTCTCCCCCTCCAGTTTCTGGTGGTGGTGGTGGTGGTGGTGGAAAGCAGGCCCACCACCAGGGATGAATCTCGACATCACCCGACCTCACTCTTCACTCCACGGCCCGAGAGCTCCCCACCGCTTCACCAGGGGTAGCTTGCGTCCCCGGTCCTTCTGCGATGGCCCAGGGGCCCGAACAAAAGGCGGCTCCCGGAGGCAGACCTCGCGGGGAAAGCGCCGGGCTCGAATCGAGCAGATCCTCCGAGGCCTGGGGACGCTGACGGCGCGCAAAAGGGGGTGGGGGGAGGGGGGAGGGCTTCTTAGAAGGAGGCCGCTTCTTAAAGGGCGCCGGCCTGGCATCTACAGATAAGGCCCGCGCCTGCTGAGAAGCAGGGATGCTTCCAAGAAGCCATCCCCCCTCCCCCCACCCCCCTCCTGCGCGTGGCTGGGGATGCTCGTGGCCAAGAGTGGCACCCCCGCCCCCAGCGGCGGCACCCTCTGGGCTGCCTGGCAAAGGGGGGACGGGGCGGGACCCGTTGTGGGGTGGAGTTTCTGGTGGGCGCCATCGCGGTCCGGACTCCGAGGCGCGATCCCGCGGACACGCCGTCGCACGGGATGCGTCCCGCGCGGGGCACCCGCGAAGGAGCGCCCCGCACCCGCGGAGTCGCGGCCAAGAGGGGGGTGCCCAAGAGGGGGGGTGCAAATCATGACCGGCGGCACGTGCGCGGCCCAGCGGGGGGGGCAGGGACGTAATGAAATGTGCAAAGGCGCCATGAAATCTACGAAAAAGTCATGGCCCCCGCCATGATATCCACCCCCCCCTAGTCATCACCCCCCTCTTTTCCGCCCCCAATCTGAAGCGTGATCCCGCGGACACGCCGTCGCACGGGATGCGTCCCGCGCGGGGCACCCGCGGAACAGCGCCCCGCGTCCGCGGAGTCGCGGCCCAGGGGTCCGGCCCGCGAGGCCACGGATGCTTCGTCGCCCACGACAGCGCCAGGATCACAGGGCCTTTCTGACTTTCGGCAGTGGACAAACCTCCTTTTAGTAGACCTCCCCTTAGTGAAAAGGGCCTGGGACCGAAACCGACGGACCTGGACCCGCAGAAATAACGGCCGCGACGCCCTCTCGCGAACCGAAAACGGCCAATTCCTTGATCGACGTGTCAGGGTAGGAGGTCTGCCCACCCCTGAGACGCGCGGGTTTGGACGCAACTCCTGGGAGGTCTTCGTCGGGAAACCAGAAAGCAATCACGCCCGATCGAGAAGGCCATTGAGCCTGATGAAGCAAGCCAAATGAAGCCCAGGATTCAGCCAGATTGAGCGGGACTGCGCCAGATCCAGCGGCAGCGAGCCAGATCCAGCTGGATCAAGGCCAGTTCCGGCCAGCTTTCGACCAGGGACGCACCGGCGCCCATTAAGACTCGAACCTCTCCAAG